TCCTTGTGCAGGTCTGCGGTGCAGTCCATGAGAGTGCTGCTCTGCAGCATGGGCTTTGAGAGCCAGGTACTGGCCATCGAGGCGCAGGGTGGCTGGGACACCCTGCTCAGCTCCCAGACCCACCTCATGGGAGTGCGCATTATCGCCAGGTGAGAGCCCCTTCTCCCTGCTCCTTGGGGACAGGGTACCCCATGCCACCCCCTCCCTTGTGGTTGATGGCAGTGGGGTCCCCATTACTTGGAGAAAGTGGTACAGACTGGTGATGTCCAGGCTGGTGCAAACCCCCAAAAGATGTGCCTGCCTGGCTCAGGCCTGACAGTGTCTCCTTCCCCGTCAGGGAGATGATGAAGATCCCAAGTCCCCTGTGCTCCACCATCTTCTGCCATCTGGCAGAGCTCCTCAGTACAGAGGACCCCACCTGGGAGATGGTCGCTATGGTCTTCTTCATTGAGGTGAGCCTGATGGCACCACTCCAAGCTCCCCCTGACGCTCGGTTCTCCCATGCCCACCGCTGTGGGGAAAGCTGGGGCAGCGGGTGGGCTCTGGTTGGTACCATGGAGGAGCAGATGAGCAAGCAATGTGCTGTGGTGTGGGGCATGGGGACTCTCTGCAATCCCTGCTGCCTCTGTCTGGGCTTGGTCTTGCCCTGCGTCCTTGTCCTGAGCTGATGGTTGGAGCCAGCACCGCACCTCACCAGCCTGTGTTTCAGATGCTGGACTGTACCAACCTCAGTGAAGAGCTAGACTGTGCCCTGGAAATCTTCCCCATGTATCTGCAGAGCCAGTGCCTGGGGATGCCCAGCCTGGTGCTCAGGGCCATCCTCAGGCTCACTGAGAGGCCTGACACAGTGAGTAGGGGGCAGCCAGGACAGCAGCCCAGGGTGGAACAGTGGGTAACATGGCAGCTCAGGCTTTCCTGGGCATTGTGAGCTGTGCTGGCTGCTGCCAGCTCTCCTGCCTCCCCGGCCCTCTGCCCCATGGCTGTGCCATGCCAAGGAGAGAAGCAGCAGTGCTGACGGGAACGGGCTCCCACTGCCAGCACGTCCCAGCAGGGATGCTGGCGGCAGAGCAACCGGCCTGAGCGTGGGGTCTGCAGGGCCTGGCCGTGAGGTGTTGAACCCCAGGGTGAAACACAGCAGCCATGGCAGGGGCTGCTGGCAGCTTGGGCAGCTTTCCAGGCAGCGCCAGTCGCCCACCAGCCTATCCAGGGGGGTCTGGTGGAGAAGGGGGCAGCCAAAGGGCTGGCAAGGAGCCAGCGCTGTCTGTCCTCCCCCTCTGTGCCCTGCTCTTCCCGTGGGCATGCTGGTGAGCCCTGTCTGCCAGGACCTTGCCCTCGTAACCTGCGCTGCCTGCAGAGAAGCCAGCGGGGAGGCCGGTGTTCGTGGATAGGGTTTTCACCCCTGTGATTGGTGGCTCCTTTACAAAAAGGAGGTGGCATGTCTCACACAGGAAAGGAAAGCCCTTGTCCTGCTGCCGTACGTTATGGAGCAGCTGCAGGGTGATGACAGTGATGCCAGCGCCGCGGCCCTGCCCGTGCTTGGCAACATGCTCCGGCTGCTGGAGGGGAAGACACTCAACCTCACTGCCCTGGCACTGGCTGACAAGCTCCGGCTGCTTTTCGACAATGTAAGGCTGGGGGAGAGCCCCATGCCCCCCTTACTGGACACCTCCATTCACGCCTCCCACCACAGTCCCTGTGCTCTGCAGGGGGATGCTTTGCCCCACAGTCCCCAGACCCCATTGCTGCCCTCGGTGGTTCCGTGCTGTGTCACAAACCCCCCACCAAGGACTCACTCCGGCTCGGCCTCCCTGCCGCAGCGGGGGACAGTGGTGGCAGGATGGCAGCAGGCGTGCTGAGCCCCACCAATGCACACCCTGCTCTGGCAGCATCCTCCAGCCTTCTGCAGGGTCTCCCTCTCTGGCCCTCAGCCCTGGAGACCCCAGTCCCCCTGGGCAGACCATCTGAATGCTGCAGCTCGCTCCCTTTTGGAGCAGGGCTGCCTGCAGCCGTTTTGGGGATGTCCATCTCCATGTCAGCCCCTTGCTTGCCATGGCTTGGGGCTGAGGTCCTCCTCCCCTCCTCCCCCAGGAGCTGGACACGGTGCGGGAGCTCTCCATCCGTCTCTTCCAAATCGCAGTGGGGCTCGTGGTGGGTGCTGAGAAGAAGAAGATGAAGAAGAAGGTGTGGGACAGCCTGCTGCCGCTGCTCTTTCACCTACATGACCAGGACAAGAGTGTGGCCAAGGTGGGATTCCCAAGCTGACTGGTCCTTTGGGGAGGGCAATGCTGACACTGCACTGTGAGGTCTAGCTTATTGAGTCCCTAGGAACAGGCAGAGCCCCCCTCCCTGCCCACTGCTGCCTTTTTCCTCCTGCTGCCTGGATGGATGGGGAGGTGGGTCCCTTTCCCACCCAGCTCCCTCCACACAGCCCCTGGCATGTGTCCCTGCAGCCCCAGAGACTGGGCTACAGCTCCGCAGCAGCCTGGGGCCACCAAAGCTGAAACGCTGAAGCCCCGACAGGCTTCCAGCCAGAGATGGTGGCTGCCCTTCTCTTCCCCTGGGGTGCTGAACCTGCTGGCAGCATCAGTCCTCAGCTGGTGCGTCTTCCCTGCATGGGCCAGGACAGGCTCTGAGCCCCACCAAGAGGGAGGACACAGGGTCCTGTGCCCCCCATGGTGGTGGTAGCATCTGTGCTGCTCACCAGGCCTCCCAGGAAGCCCTCCGCAGCGCTGGCCAGTTCCTGAAGTGGGGGCAGCTGGCGCAACTGGCCGAGACGGCGCAGGCATGGAGGATCTGCGAGTGCCTGGTAAGCACAGCCCCAACACCCCTGGGATCTGCCCTGGGTAAGCCCTGCCCCGTGCCCAGCAGAGGGGACCAAAGGCAGTGTCCCCACAGCTGCATGCACCCTCCTGGAACAGGCTCTGCTCCAGGCTGTCCTCACCTCCGGGGTCCCAAAGGGGACTCTGCCACCAGGACGGCACCCTAGCATTGCTTGGGAGCCCTCTACTCCCTCCGAACCCCAATGCAGAGAGCAGAGAGCTGGGAATGTCCTGCTGGGGGGAAGAAGGGTGGTCGTTGGTGGGGCGATGGCCCAACGGGGGGGGCCACCTCTGTGCCAACTCTGCACCCTTGTCCTCTCCAGCTGGCCAGGAAGAGGAACAGGGCCAAGGACTACCTGTGGCAGAGCCAGACCTACCTGCAGAGCCCACAGGAGCCCCTGCGGTGGGAGGCTGTCAGGTTCATTGGTGAGCCCCTAGCCCCGGGGTCACTCTCTCTCCCAGGGTCCCTGTGTCCCAGTGCATGACCTGTGGGGCACCCCTTCACTCTCTCCCACTCCTGCCTGCACAGGTAGGGCTGGCAGGAGGCTCATCCATCCCCTCCCCGATGCTGCACCCTGGGGTCAGCCCTCCCCAGGGAACTGTGTGGCCAGACAGGCTGGGTGGTGGGTCCCTGATGGCCAGTGGGGTCCCTGACATGCTGTGTCCCCCCAGGACTCCTTGGACGGGATGTGGATGAGCACAAGAATGTGCAGTACATCAGAGAGAGTGAGTGAGGGCAGCGGGGAGGAGGAAGGACCTTGGCATGGAGCTCCCCCCCAGCCTGGGCAAGGGGGGCTCTGCTCCCATCTGTGGGAAGAGGGGTGTTTCGGGAGGGGCGTATTCCTGACCAGCAGCTTCCAGCTGAGTCATCTGCCCCCTGGTTCCCTCCTGGCCCTGGGAATCATGAGGTGCAATGTGCCCTGCCTGGAAGGGATACGGGGCTGTCACCTCACATCTGCTGCTTTGTCCCCACAGTCCTTCAAGGCCCAAGCAAAGACACCAGCCCCCTGGTCTCCTCCCTGGCAACTCAGACAGTCCTCATCCTCGGACGAGGAAGGCTGAAGTCGAGGTTTAACCTACCACGGCTGAGCTTACAGATGACGAGAGCACGGATGAGGTCACACTCAGTCCCCAGCAAGGACTCTGCTCAGGCAGAGACAAAGCAGGAGCCCCAGCCCTAGGATGCTCTGCAGGCTGGGGTATCTCCTCTTCCTGAGGTCTAACAGGAAAGAAGACACCTCAGCTGGAGGAGGACCCAGCACCCTCCAGAGAGTGGCAGGACAGCCACTCTTTCCAGTGGTCTAGGACAACGCCTGTCCACGCGCTTCATCTTTGCCATAAAGCACCAGCTGCTCTGCTGGGCTGTGAAACAGAGGGAAGAAGGCCACGCCAAAGCCGAAGCCAAAGTTGAAACTGAAGCCTTCCATCCCTTCTGCAGGGCCATGCCGGGGTGAATCACTTTTTCTGCCTCCCACCGTCCAAGGATCCTGTGCTGCTTTGGGCTGACGTGGCCGAGCTCGGGAGCTACAAAGCCACCGATGCTCTGACTCCAGCAGCATCGTCCCCTCCATGTCCCCAGCAGGAAGGGCAGCTCTGCCTCCTGCCCGCACCACCAGCTGCGCAGCCGCTCCTGCCTGGGGATGTCAGAAGACACAAGAGCAATGGTAAGAGGTCACAGTGTGAAACCAAGCCCTCTGTCTCCAAAAGGCAGACCGCCTGCCGGCAGTCAGCAGCCCCTCCAGGATCCTCTGGGCACATATGGCAACACTCTTTGGCTGCTTGTCCCTGGGGAAGTGAGCCTGTGCCTCACAGAGACCAGCTGAGGAGTGTTCCCGCTGTCCTTCCGCACCTCTCCGGGTGCCAAAGAGGAAAGAGACTGAATGCGCAAAATGAAGTTTCGGCACAAAAACAGGTTTTAGCTCTTTAGAGCATCACCAGGACAGGCCCCTCCGCACCCGCCTGTCCCAGCCAGCCAGCCAGCCACTACCCCAGTCGCAGCCCAGCACGGGTCCCTGGGACCCCCAAAGGACGTGGGATGGGACCAGAGGCCGTGCCCCGCACGGGAGCTGGCCGAGGGTCCCCGAGGGGCAGAACAAGCTGATCGTGATTTGGGAAGCAGCCACCCATCCACCGTCACCGTCACCGCGACGCCGTCTGGGTGAGTGGCGGACGCCGGCTGCGATGCCCGGGGGGCCGGGCACCAGGGGTCTTGGGGGGACCAGAGGAGGCAGCGCCCTAAGGGGGCCCTGGGGCTCAGCCAACCGGGCGGTGTCGCCGGAGGGGAGCTTGGGGGTGCGGGTCCCCGGCAGGGACCCCCCGCTCCCCCCCAAAGCCGCAGAACACTCGGTGCAGGGACGGAGCCC